TAGTTCCTCCCTTGATCTGAACACTACACTTCTGTTTACTGAGTCTAGAATTGCATGAGCTATTTTTGCTGCCGCATCACACCATCGGCTCACGCTAAGCTTGTGGTCTACCAAGATCCCTAGTTCCTTCCTGCAAGTGCTGCTGGCAAGTTGGGTACCTCCTATTTGGGCTGATTTGGATCTCGCCTCTGCCATCCAGCTGCCCTTGTGCACCTCACTCTGTCTCCTCCACTCCTCCTGCCTCAGATCCGGGGCTCTATAATACTGACCTACTCCTATGGGGCGGCTGTAAGATACAACTGACCGATACAAGGCCCTGAAGCACAGCACAAAACACTCTGCAAGGCGACGGGACTCTTGAATGCGTAGCTGTGATTTATTTTAGGGGTGCAGGAAACTACAGCTAATCCAGAATGTGGCAACTAGACTGGTGACTGGGAGCGGCTGCCGAGACCACATAACACCAGTCTTGAAAGACCTACACTGGCTCCCAGTACGTTTCTGAGCACAATTCAAAGTGTTGGTGCTGACCTTGAAAGCCATAAACGGCCTCGGTCCAGTATATCTGAAGGAGCATCTCCACCCCCATCATCCAGCCTGGACACTGAGGTCCAGCGCTGACGGCCTTCTGGCGGTTCCCTCCGTGCGAGAAGCCAAGTTACAGGGAACCGGGCAGAGGGCCTTCTCGGTGGTGGCACCCGCCCTGTGGAACGCCCTCCCACCAGATGTCAAAGGGGAAAACAACGACCAGACTTTTAGAAGACATCTGAAGGCAGCCCTGTTTAGGGAGGCTTTTAATGTTGGGTGCATTACTGTATTTTATTATGTTGTTGAAAGCCACCCAGAGTGGCTGGGGAAGCCCAGCCAGATGGGTGGGGTATAAATAAATTATTATTATGTATTATTATTATGTTAGGGGGTGCAGAACTGTGTTATCTGCGACGCAATTGGTCAGGTCGTTTATTATTTTTATTTATTTACTTGCTTGGGGGGCAGTTCCCCCCCCCCTGGCTACACCTATAGTGCTCAGACATACAACTTTTCAGGGACACAAGAAGCAGCAACGGAATGTTTGCTGCCAGACTCTGCGAGGGAAGGGAATGTCAGTTCGCTTGGGATGAAGATTGCCAGCCGAGACCCTGAGGGAGAGGAGATTTGAAGCCGCGGGGAAAGGCGAGGGCTGGAAAATTTGATGTCGATGGGGTTCCCAGAACGGGAAGCCTTGGGACATGTAGGATGTTTAGAAGTGGGGACTGAGAGAGGATGGTTAAGAGCCTAGTCGAAGAAACAGAATTTTGCAGATGGATTTGAATGGCCCCAGTCAATTCCTTAGCCACATATTAAAGGTAAAAGTAAAAGGACCCTGACCATTAGGTCCAGTCGTGGCCGACTCTGGGGTTGCAGCGCTCATCTTGCTTTACTGGCCGAGGGAGCCGTTGTACAGCTTCCAGGTCATGTGGCCAGCATGACTAAGCCGCTTCTGGCGAACCAGAGCAGCGCACGGAAACGCCGTTTACCTTCCCGCTGGAGTGGTACCTATTTATCTACTTGCACTTGACGTGCTTTCGAACTGCTAGGTTGGCAGGAGCAGGGACTGAGCAACGATTCGAACCGCTGACCTTCTGATCAGCAAGTCCTAGGCTCTGTGGTTTAACCCACAGCGCCACCCGCATCCCATTAGCCACATATTATGATTGGCTTAAATCAGGCCTAGGCAAACTCGCCCTCCAGATGTTTTGGGACTACATCATCCCTAGCGCCACAGCGTCCCAATAAAGAGGTATAGAAATGAAAGAAATAATAATAAATTTCATTGCAAAATAAAAAGGGTGCTTAGACATTTCGTTGTGGCAACTGTAACCGAGGTTTAGGGTGCCGTTTGGCAATTAACGTACAATATATATCTGAGTTTCTAACGCTGGCAGAGAGATCCGTCATATTCCCGCCTCCAGAGCACATGTCATTCCCACTCCAAGCCCTAACAGGCCCCTGACTTGTCTGTTGAGAAATCCTTCAAGCCAGTTGACCTCCCGTCATGGGCGTGGGAGAAGAGAAAGATCTAGGAAGCAGTGGCTGGGGAGCAGAATGGGGTGAGGGGGTTTTTTGGGTGAGGGGTGCAGACAGAGGAGACAGGAAATCTCTGAGGACTTTGCTCAGGTGGGGTGGAAATTGCTTCCAAACCAGCTATCTCCTTCTCGTTCACGTGGGGAAAATGAAACTAAAGTACTAAACGTCTTTTTTTAATCCGGTGGCCACAGCGGAGAGGATAATGAGGGAGGGGGCCCCCAAAAGCTCAGGAATGCAGTAATTTGGGGTGCCTGCAGAGGGGGGGGAGAGGGACACCCCCTTCCCCTTTGGGACACTGAACAGTTTTGTTTTTTTTTGTAGCTCCTGGATGGGAGAGTTGTGCAGCAAAGAGAAAAGTTTTGCATTTTAAGAACTCATGTCTCTCCAATTTCTCTTCCCTTTCCCCCTCCTCTCAACATCTTGTGGTTTTATATATATATATCTCTAGGCGTAAAGACAGTCTTTTTATCTGCCTTCTGCAAACTGTCTCTCTGTTAAAAAACAGCAACGCCACCCAAATCAACAGCGTAACTTCTTCGTAGGCCTGTTTACTCAGGAGGGAAGTGCAATGGAGTTCAGTGGGGTTTCCTACCCACCTAAGAAAGCTTGCATGGGGATAGCACTGTTAAAATATACTTGGGATGGTGTGCAGACATTGGTGGGGAGGGTGCAAAGAAGAGAGTCAAAGAATTCTCCCTCCCCCCCAAAAAACTCCACACACATTGCATGGGACGTGAATCTGAAAAGGTTTCGGGTGCTACAAAAATGTGCCCGGGGCCAATGGTTCATTTCCATCTAAAAGATGAAATTGGTAGCGTGCTCTAGTGGTTAGAGTGTCAGGCTAGGACCTGGGAGAGAGCAGGGTTCACATCTTCCCACTTGGCCACACGGAGATCACTGGGTGTGATCAGTCCCTGCCTCCCTCAGACTAACCTACCTCAGAGGGTTGTTGTGGGGTTTAAATGAGGGGTGGAACCATGCATGCCACTTTAAAGATAAAATGTGTTCCACAAACGCAATAAACAAACATATTTTTAAAAAAGAAATATTGATAGTTGCAGACTTCCACATTGATCCACACTCGGGATGTGAATTTGAAACAATGTCTTGGATGTTGCAAAAACTGTGTGTGTGTTTCCCTGTGGGGGGAAAAACATCAATACCCCGTTCCCACAAAGAGTTTCAGAAACAATTATAATCTCACAAGAAGGAGAGGTATAAAATGTGGCCCGACTTCAGAACTAGAAATCAGACCTGACAAGCCCTTGTCTTTCTCTCACACACAGAGGCAACAGCACAAAACAAGCCTGTTTCTTTCTTCTGACTTGAATGAGTCAAATCTAGAGAAAGGAAATGGGGGGGGGGAGGAGGAGAAGTGGGTAGAGTGGAGGGAGGGAAATCTTTTCGCACGGTTTTGTAAGCAGCTTTGTGAAGTGGCTACTGTTTCTTTAAAAAAGTACAAAAAATAAATAATTTTTTGGCTCCCTTTGTCAGAGAGAGGCCTCGAATCTTGCTAAACTCCCCGGGTTTCAAGAGCAAGCTAAAAATTCTGATGTCGAAAGCTGTGGGGTGCAGGGCCTCCTCAAACCCCCATTCCCCAAAAGCTCAGGGTTACAGCTGATGGGGAAAGGGGCGCTGAGGCTGTCTGAACCCCCCCCCTAAAGTCCAAAACCGCTTACCGGCAGAGTTGTGGCTGGCGCTTTCCCAAAAGCCACATGAAGAGCATGGGCCTAATGTGAAGTGGGCCAGTTTTGCAGAAATTATGATGTTTTCAGCCCACGCTTTGCTGAGCTATGGGGTTTCAACCTCCCCACCCACCTGCCCCACCTGCTCCCCGCAATCCAGAGGTGACACAAAACCGCTGTGGGTTGCGGCAACTTTAGGAAAGGGTTTAAGCGTTCAAATTTTTGCAGAGGCCTTTGCTTTCTTTAGGAGCATGAATGAGCCTTGGGCTGAATAATTCCCCCCCCTAGGAAAAGGTGTGTGTGTGTGTGTGTGTGTGTTTGTGGAGGGAGGTCAAGGATCTAATGTTGCTTTATGGACGAAAAAAATTATTATGACCGGCCAACAACAGACAGTGGAAAATCCAGAAATATGTTTGAAATAAGGGGTGGGGGAAGAATTAAGAGGCAGACACAGACTTCCTGGCTTCCCCCTCTTTTTTTCCTTTCTGTTGGTGGTTCAGTTCTTTAAAAAACTTTTTCAAAATGTGTCATGGGATTAAAAGAATGAGAGAGAGAGAACATAAGAATTTTGCTAAAGGATTTAGCCAACCAGCTTTTTTTAAAAAAAAAAATCCTCTAGGCAAAGGACGCTGAGAGATTTTTAACACCCATTTTTTCCCTTCTGAATCAATGGGACTCAGAGTTTCCTTTGGCTAAAAAATAAAAAGAAATCCCAACTTGGGAGAGGCTTGGGAAGGACACGCCATCTCCCAAGGTCTGAAGCGAAAGCGGATTTAAAAGAAAATGGAAAGGTTTATTTCGTAAAACAAACACGGAAGGGCCACACAACGCCGAAGTTTGCCCTACTCAGAGTAGACCCCTTGAAACGAACGGCTGGCCCCTCGATTTCACCGGGTCTACTCTCGAGTAGGACCGGGTTGGCTTCCACCGCCCTAAGTTTGCGAGTTTCCCTGCAGTTTCGCGTAAAGCGATCCTCTTACAAAAGGCGGATTATTGGTGACAAAAGCACGGGTCCCAGTTCCTCCTTGGCTTACTTTTTTTGGGTGGGGGCGAAGAAAAGAAAACAGGGACAAGAATACACAGACATATTTGGGAGCCTTTGAAGTAACAGAGGAGATCAGAGGCGTTTTACAAAAGAGCAGAACCCGAAGCGCAGTTATCTGTCCCGCTAGTCGCCAGCGCGCACAGAGGATTAGGCGTAAAACTGAGAAGAAAGTTTCCAAAGGATCCTTCTTAAGGCAGCCTTACCTGGTCTTCTTGGGGCGCGCGGCTCCTTCTCCTCCGACCCCCTTCCTCTCTCGCCTCCAGCCAGTTCCCTGGCTCAGACTGGCATGGAAAGTTTCCTTGGGAAATCCAGCCCCGCGCACGAGGTGTGGCTCTCCACCCCGCTGCGTGAGAGAAGGAGGAAATGCTCAGAAGGACTTTCCACACACAGAGAGAGACGCGCGCGCCCGCGCGTGCACAACACACCCGGGTGCTTCAGTGCGCCTTGGAGAGGCGATGCAAGAGCGCTGACTTGGGGGCGGCCGGGGCATTGCAGAAAAAAAGGGACCCAGGAAAAGCCGCCTTTGGGGTCCAAAGGTCTATCCATCACTGCTGGCAGAAGAAGCGGGCTGGCAGCATCACGCAGATGCCAAGACTCTCAGCGGGCATGGGGCATAGCTGCCAACGTTTCCCTTTTTTAAAGGGAAATTCCCTTATTCCGAATAGGATTCCTCGCAAGAAAAGGGGAAAGTTGACACCTATGGCAAGGGACCTGATCAATGCCAGATTTACATATAAGCTAAGGTTGTTGTTAGGGACGCTGGTGGCGCTGTGGGTTAAACCACAGAGCCTAGGACTTGCCGATCAGAAGGTGAGCGGTTCAAATCCCCGCAACGGGGTGAGCTCCCGTTGCTCTGTCCCTGCTCCTGCCAACCTAGCAGTTCAAAAGCACGTCAAAGTGCAAGTAGATAAATAGGTACCACTCTGGCAGGAAGGTAAACAGCGTTTCCGTGCACTGCTCTGGTTCACCAGAAGCGGCTTAGTCATGCTGGCCACATGACCCAGAAGCTGTACGCCGGCTCCCTCGGCCAATAAAGTGAGATGAGTGCCGCAGCCCCAGAGTCGCCCGCGACTGGACCTAATGGTCAGGGGTCCCTTTACCTTTACCTAAGGTTGTTGTTGTTTAATCGTTTAGTCATGTCCGACTCTTTGTGACCCCCTGGACCAGAGCACGCCAGGCCCTCCTGTCTTCCACTGCCTCCTGCAGTTTGGTCAAACTCATGCTGGTAGCTTCGAGAACACTGTCCAACCATCTTGCCCTCTGTCGTCCCCTTCTTCTTGTGCCCTCCATCTTTCCCAACATCAGGGTCTTTTCCAGGGAGTCTTCTCTTCTCATGAGGGGGCCAAAGTCTTGGAGCCTCAGCTTCAGGATCTGTCCTTCCAGTGAGCACTCTGGGCTGATTTCCTTCAGAATGGAGAGATTTGATCTTCTTGCAGTCCATGGGACTCTCAAGAGTCTCCTCCAGCACCAAGCTAAGGTTACCATATTTTTTTCAATGAATCCGGGGACACTTTTAAAAAGGGGGGGGGGAGTTATTAAAAAAGAAGAAGTAATATCTCCTCTTCTGTGGTCTCCTCTTTAGCATGGCCTTCCTCTGGGTCCCGGCCACGTGTCCTTACCTTCCCGGTGCTCTCCTACCTTTTCTCCTCAGCGCAGCAAGGTCAGGGCTCACCTCTTTCTCTCTCTTCATTTTCCTCCTCTCTTTCTTCTCCATGCGTAGGCCCCCGGGTTTTCCTGGCCCCAGAGCGCCGCTGGGCAGTCGGCCAGCTGGCCGGGCGCTCTTGCTCCTGGCTCAATTTGGGTCATGGGGTGTGTGTGTCAGTGGCTCCCTCAGTTGACACACCAGGCATCCCTGGTTCCCCTTCGGTAGTGATGGCGGCAGCGGCAGTCTCAGCAGCCCGGAGCCAGCCTGGTAGCACAGTTGGCTCTGGCTGGCTTCAGGAGCTGCCCGCTGCTGTGGCGCCCGCCATTTTTCCTCACCGGAAGTCCCCATATGATGTGTCTTGTGCCGTTGAACCAATCACGCAACATTCATTCCCTACTAATAAATCTACAACACTTAAAATATAAATCCGGGGACATAAATTGGCTGCAACTCTTGTACGATGTATATGCATGTGGGATATTTTGCAAATATTCATCAACAGGATAGAAGGTTGCTTGCATAATATTTTTTTTTAAGACCTCAAGTAGAATGCCTCTGAGCGCGTCCAGAGTGCTTCTCCCCCTAAAACATAGGAAGAAGCAATCTGAAGGCAAATATTGAAAGCATACGGAACAGGCTTCTCTTTTTGTTTTTGAAGGGATAAGATTCCCCTCCCAGGGTGTCAAACAACATGGACAGGAAGCAGTTGATAAAAATAACACCTGGAAAAAAAATAACATCGACTAAAAAGCAACAGAAGTTTGTACAATTACTTATATTTAGACTCACAACCACTATGCGTTACAAATCTTCAAGGCCGTTTTCTAAAAAGAGATTACTCTTCCTAAAAGGAGGTTTATCAACAGCTATAAGCGACGAGATTACGTCAGCATGAAACACAACAGCTCCCATAATTTACCTCTTCTCGAGTGCTCAAAAAGCATCCGCTGCTGAAAGATTCATGAAATTGAAGACAAGCTGCGAGGTTGTTCCGAGACCTGCTGAGCAATGTCTCCCAGGAGTTTTAAAAGAACACGTCGTATCCATTGCTGGCAGTGCTGCAGGCTCACTCAGAAGAGGTTATTAAAGCATTTCCTTGTGACGGGGAGTTCCACAGGCTCCCTGAAAATGCCAGCAAGGCATAAGGATGGGGAAATGAGTCAATTTCAGGTTCTGTTTTTATTTGTTTCCAGTCTTCAGTCCCACACACTTCCACATTAGTTTGGGTTTAGAAAAGAGAGGGTCATGTACACATTCTCTTTCTCCCGGTCTAGCCTGCTTCACAGGGTTGTTCTGCGGCTATGATGAAGGAGAAGAGCATGCAGACCATAATCTGAACTCCCTGAAGGCTGGTCAGTGCGGACTGGCTGTCCACAGTCTTCCCCAGCCCTACCTGGAGATGGAGTGGACCTGGGACCTTCTGCATGCAGAGCAGGTGTCCTCCTACTGAGCTAAGGCCCTTAAGTATAATATCAAGTTTCTAGTCCTCATAGTTCCGAAGAAAGTCCGGACTTGGACAGGGACATAGGAAGCTGACTTACACTGAGTCAAGCAATTGGTTCATCTAGTTTTTCCTCTGTACGTTGCTATGCGCAAGGACTGAGCTAAAACCTCCCTGTGACTTTCTCCTCAAATCATATGCTGTTTTTGTCAGTTTGCTCAGTAAAGTGTCATCTTTCAATCCAGACTGTGTAATTTAAGTTACTTTTCTAACACAGGAATCTTTTTTTTAAATGGTGCAGGGTTCTCTGGGAAGAAGAGTTGGATTGTTAAACAGCTCTGGGAATTGTAGTTCTGGGAGAGGGGATAGAGAGAGGGGTCTCCGAACAACTCTCGGCTCTCTTAGTGAACTATATTTCCCAGGATTCTTTGGGGGAAGCCAAAGTCTGTTAAAGTGCTATAAGAGTGCTTTAAATTTATGGTGCAGATATAACCAGGCTCCTTGCCTGAAGCGCTGGACAGCTGCTGCCTATCAGTGTCGACAATATTGAACTAGATGGACTGATGCTCTCAGTTAAAGGCAGCTTCCTAGAGCATCACTAGAGCTATATCCCTGAGAATTAGAGATATACATGGTGTTATGTATTGAAGTTCTGTTCCAGCTTACAAATAAAGAGCTGCTTTGGAGAAATCGCTGCGTCGTCTGCTATGTCTGTTGTTGTGTAGTCGTTTAGTCGTGTCCGCCTCTTCGTGACCCCCTGGACCAGAGCACACCAGGCACTCCTGTCTTCCACTGCCTCCCACAGTTTGGTCAAACTCATGTTTGTAGCTTCGAGAACACTGTCCAATCATCTCGTCCTCTGTCGTCCCCTTCTCCTTGTGCCCTCCATCTTTCCCAACATCAGGGTCTTTTCCAGGGAGTCTTCTCTTCTCATGAGGTGGCCAAAGTCTTGGAGCCTCAGCTTCAGGATCTGTCCTTCCAGTGAGCACTCAGGGCTGATTTCCCTAAGAATGGAGAGGTTTGATCTTCTTGCCGTCCATGGGACTCTCAAGAGTCTCCTCCAGCACCAGAATTCAAAAGCATCAATTCTTCGGCGATCAGCCTTCTTTATGGTCCAGCTCTCACTTCCATACAGCATGAGTTTGACCAAACTGCAGGAGGCAGTGGAAGACAGGAGGGCCTGGCGTGCTCTGGTCCAGGGGGTCATGAAGAGGCGGACAAGACTAAACAACTCAACAACAACACTTCCCATCAATTTCGCCAGGTGACCCCAAGTTCTACTATAACAGAAAAGTATGGTTTTTTTTATTATCATCTCTTAGATTTCTTAGCCTCGACCTTCCCCATAAGGTCCCAGAGCAGATCATGACCACGTAAAAACTTAGCGTGAAACCGGTTCAAACAATTTGCCACTTGGGGCTGGTTGATCTGCGAGATCGCCTTACTCCATATACGTCCGCTTGACCTGTTTGATGGACAGAACCGGCCCTGCTGCGGGTGCCTCATTTGTAAGAACTTGATTTTTCGGTGTGGCAGCACCTGTGGAACTCCCCGCCTATTGACACCAGGCAAGCGCCTTCACTGTGCTCTTTTTGGCACCTGCTAAAAACAAACCTACCCAAATATTTAGAATCTTAATATGTTTTTCGTCTGTTTAACTTTCCAAAAGACTTATCCATTGCTGCTGTTGATTTTTATTATTGGTAACTTTATTGTTCCATCTTTCTTTAAAAACTGCTTTGAGGTTGTGTTTGTCTTTTTAACAACCAAGCAGTGTGTAATTTCTATTCAATAATTTGCAATCAGAAGAATAGGATGGATATATGTATGTGTGTGTGTGTATGTATGTACATGTGTGTGTGTGTGTGTATTTAGCCTTGGTGAAGACTTGACGTTTTTATCCCCCCAAAAAGTTTTTGATTGCGTTTCCGCTGAAATGAGGCTGTATTTTAATGTTTTTATGTTGTATTTTAATCTTGTTTTTTAAGCTGTATTTCAATCAATTGTTTTTATATTTGGTGTTAGCTGCCCTGAGCCCAGTCTTGGCTGGGGAGGGCGGGGTATAAATAAAAAGTAATAATAATAATAATAATAATAATGTGTGTGTGTGTGTGTATTCTGGCCTTTGATACTATAGATAGATGATAGATAGATAGATGATAGATAGATATTATCAAAGGCCAGAATAAAGACATGTGTCACCAGTGTTCATCTTTCTCTGTTCCTCCACATCGTGCATCGTAATTGCTAATAATGCAGCAATTATCTAATCGTTTTAAAAACACACACACACACACACACCCGCTCCTGGCAAGCTCACAGAGATTGCATCCGCCATGCATATATATGGAAGGAAAATCTCCATGGCTTCAGCCTCCTTCCCCGACTGAAAATAGAAAATTCTTCTTGGAGCTGATTCACTGGGGCCGCTGCAGTCTCTGCGATGAAGGCTTAGGAGGGGCTGCATTGCAGCAAAAAAAAAAAAAAAGAGGAGAGGCTTGTGCGCAACAGAGACAGACCCACACAGCCAGCCAGCCAGACAAAAGCAGGAGGGGGACGGATCACACCATCTGCCCATCTCTCTGGACCACTAGAGATCTCTCTGTCTCTCTCCTCCGGCAGCACAAAAGGCACCTCCTGTTTCTGTTGCATCCCGAGCCCCTTTTGGTCCTACTCCGAGGAAGGTAAGAAAGAGTCGGAAAGAAAAAGGGTATTGGAAATATATATTATTTGGAGGGAAATAGGGGGGGGGAGAGAGAGAATGTATATTTAATTCTGCTCGGTTTCTTCCATCTTCCACTTGTCCTTTAAAATAAACAAATAAATCTCGCCATTGTTATTAATCTGTTCAAGAAGTTAGCATCTTCCTGCATACAATACATTTGTCTTCTGTTTTTAAAAAGGCTCATTCAGACCTGTTAAGCCTCTCTGAGGGTATGTTGGGAATTGGAGGATAATGTCATAATATAATAGTTACAGCATTTGGGTAGCGTTGATTGGTCTGCCATAGTCAAAACAAAAAAATTCCTTCCGTAGCCACCCTTAAAGACAACTAAGTTAGGGTACTTCGTGTTGCAGAAAGTATCTGAGAAGTGTGCATGCACACTGAAAGCTCATACAAGAATAACTTAGTTGGTCTTAAGTGCTATGAAGGATTTTTTTTATAATAATAATAATAATAATAATTATAATAATTATAATAATTTTATTTATACCCCTCCCTCCCCAGCCAAGACTGGGCTCAGGGCGGCTAACAACCAATAATAAAAACAAGTTGATTGAAATACAACTTAAAAAACAAGATTAAAATACAACATTAAAACATTAAAATGCAGCCTCATCACAGGAGGAGAAATGAAAAAAGAAAGAAAGAGGGGGAGATATAGATATATAGCTATAGATAGGTGTTTAGATTAGACTGATTGAAATAAATGGGCCTAAGAACGCCACCTTGATTAATTTCCATGGGTCTCCTCGGAGTAGGGCTTCTTCTTCAACCCATGTCATCGCCAGCCACCTGTTCAGTGTTAAAAACGTTTAAAAATGCTAATTCGGTCCTCTTTATTGAAACGCAACCCTTCTCTGACCACTCCCTTGTTGTATGGAGAGATACAGATATTTTTAGAAACCTGAAGAGGCGACGGTGGTCCACAAATGAAATGGTCCTTGAAAATGAAAATTTAAAAAAGCAGTTTTTTCTAAACAACAAGGCTGCAATCCTAACCCAAGTCCACTCAGAAGGAAGTCCCATTTAACTCAAGGGGGCTTACCCCCAGGTAAGTAGGGTTAGGATCTCAGCCCTTTTAATGGCTCTCTCGCTCTCTCCACCTCCTTCCCACTTATTAAATTAAGCAGGTGGTGATTCGGGGCTTGTGGAACCTCTTCGGTTTTGATTCCGCCAGTCATTTGGTGCCTTTCAATAAAACGATTATCCGGAAACAACGTTAGAAGGATGTGTCTGCGCACATAAAAATATCCACGCACCCCCCCCCCCCCGCATCTTGCAGAGGGGGCTATTTTCAAAACGCAGATGTCTGCCACATGCTTGGGATGCCACACAAAGGTCTTTCAGAGGAGCCTGCACACTCACACAAATCCCCACCCTGCTTTTAAAATTAAAAGTGATGTAATTTTTCTTGGGAGCCCAGAAAGGCATTGAAAGCAGAGATAGATATAGCACAGCAGGAGATGGCTCCCTTGAAGGAAAACAGGGAGGTGCGTTGCATGCGTACAATTATATTTTTCAAAAAAGGCACACTCAGGTGAAGCGTAACCTCCAGATTTCAATTCCTTTTCCTTCCTTCCTTCCTTCCTTCCTTCCTTCCTTCCTTCCTTCCTTTCTTAAAAAAGAGTAAGTTTCTAGAAGCTGAGATATGAGGCGAAATGACAGGCGATGCTCTTATTTTTGTGGGGAGGCGGGGCGAGGAACTAGCCTGCTCTCCCCCCTTTTGGAATTTTATTTTTGAACCCCCGTAAAAGATCTTTCGCTGCCCCATGGGAATGCAGTCTTGCTAGCCAAGGACAGCATGTCTGAGAAAAGGGAGCAGGGAAAATTGGCAGAGAAGGCGCAAAGAGGGTCAGGTTGGAGGGCAGCCTCTCCTTGGATGATGGATGGATGGATGGGGAGATGTGCTACTGCGTGAAGAAAGGAAATCTCCAGACTGAGAGGTGGGGCAGTGAGGAGGGAGGCTTAGGAGATGTGTGGCTGGGAGTGGGAAAGAGGGAAGGTACCGCAGTTAAGACCCACCCAAGGGTGTTGCTGTTGGGTGTGGGGAGAGGAACTCGCGGCCGGAGGAGGGATGGGCCCAGACCTCAGGGTCCTGTCCTCTCCCCCATCCTTTTCAACATCTACATGAAGCCGCTGGGAGAGATCATCAGGGGGTTTGGGCTGGGTGTCCATCAATATGCAGATGATACCCAGCTCTACCTCTCTTTAAAATCAGAACCAGTGAAGGCGGTGAAGGTCCTGTGTGAGTGCCTGGAGGCTGTTGGAGGATGGATGGCGGCTAATGGATTGAGGTTGAATCCTGACAAGACAGAAGTACTGTTTTTGGGGGACTGGGGGCGGGCGGATGTGGGGGACTCCCTGGTTCTGAATGGGGTAACTGTGCTCCTGAAGGACCAGGTGCGCAGCCTGGGAGTCATTTTGGACTCACAGAGGTCCATGGAGGTGCAGGTCAATTCTGTGTCCAGGGCGGCTGTCTATCAGCTCCATCTGGTACGCAGGCTGAGACCCTCCCTGCCCGCAGACTGTCTCGCCAGAGTGGTGCATGCTCTGGTTATCTCCTGCTTGGACTACTGCAATGCGCTCTATGTGGGGCTACCTTTGAAGGTGACTCAGAAACAACTCATCCAGAATGTGACTGCCAGATTTGGTGACTGGGAGCAGCCGCCGAGACCATATAACACCTGTCCTGAAAGACCTACATTGGCTCCCAGTACGTTTCTGAGCACAATTCAAAGTGTTGGTGCTGACCTTGAAAGCCCTAAACCAGACATAGCCAAACTTGCCCCTCCAGCAGTTTTGGTACTACAACTCTCACCATCCCTGACCACTGGTCCCGTTAGCTAGGGATGATGGGAGTTGTAGTCCCAAAACAGCTGGAGGGCCGAGTTTGCCTATATCTGCCCTAAATGGCCTCATCCACCCCTATCGTTCTGCCTGGACACTGAGGTCCAGCTCCGAGGGCCTTCTGGCAGTTCCCTCCCTGTGAGGAGTGAGGCTACAAGGAACCAGGCAGAGGGCCTTCTCGGTGGCGGCGCCCGCCCTGTGGAACGCCCTCCCATCAGACGTCAAAGAGATAAACAACTACTGTATCTAACATTTAGAAGACATCTGAAGGCAGCCCTGTTCAGGGAAGCTTTTAATGCTTGATGTTTTATTATGTGTTTATATGAGTTGGAAGCTGCCCAGAGTGTCTGGGGCAACCCAGTCAGATGGGTGCCATATAAATAAATAATAATAATTATTATTATTAGCGACATGCCTAGCACTCAGGCCTCCCAAGCATCCCCTAACAGAAGATCCCTTCTTCCTCCTCTCTTCCCAGCAAGAAATGAGGGACACAGTCAACTCCCAGTATGACTCCTTCCTGTACTGGAAGATGCCCATCCCAGAACTGGACCTGAGCGAGCTGGAACACCTGGGCTTAGCTGAGCTGGTCGCCTACAAGCCCAAGGGAGGCTATGGCAGCTTCGCGGCAGAGCGGAAGAAACAGAACCGCAGCATCTCCGACGGGGAAGACGACGGCGAAGACACCAGCCTCCTCCAGTTCAACAGTTTCAATTTCTGGAGGGCTCCTATACCCTGCGTCGGCCCTTTAGATTTCGACCTGATCTGAGGCCTGTGCAGCTGGGCTCCTGTCCTTCAGTGCGACGAGTGAGGCGGCTAAACCTTTTGTCTACACCCCCCCTTCCGACCAATTCCCTGTAGTGTTTTCCTTTTCAAATTGTACGGCCAGGCTGAATTGCAAAATTGCTTCTGTCGGTGTCGTCTGCCTGTGTCTCTCTCCTTCTCATGTTCTGTCTCTTATGTGTTTTCACGGGCAGGGAAGGGGACTATGGTTTGCAAAATTGGGACTGAATGTATTTATTGGCTGGAGGGTGAACTGCGTCGAGAGGCCCTGAGGTGCGCCCACGTTCCTGTTTGTGGCGATGGCAGCCGGAAGTGTGCGGGGAATTAAGCGAGGCATTTCCCCACCCCCTTGATCATAAAAACGACTCCGTACAGCTGGGTGGCTTTTGAGGGGATCGCAGCTAGGATCTGGAGCAGGAGTCGGCAACTAAGCAGCCTCTGAGCAAATTCCGGTCCGCGGGTCTTTGGCCCGTCGAGCTGCAAGCTCTGTTTCCTTCTTCCTCTTGCCAGCAGCCACTTTCAGAAAGCGTGAAATTACATATCTTGCTTCTGAATAACTCGAGACGGATAATTTGTGTGTGGGGGGGTGTTGGGGGGTCTGCGCTGCCACTTCCGGGTTCAGCCGAGGTGGGAGGGGGCGCCAAAGAAGCGCCATTTCTTGGGGGAGGGGAGGGAGATGTGTAGGCCAAGATGAAAGCTCAGCTCCTGGACGTGTTTGAGATTAAACTGCAAAAGAAAAGAGGTGTCTTTAAGAGCGTTTGTGGTGGTGATTTCATAATAACCACAAGAGATTTGCGCACCTGGAGATTTATCGTGCACGGAGCAGAGGCGGTTGGCTGCCCCCCGCCTTGCCGCCCCCACAAGTACACTATCAAATTACAGCTTTGTCTTTTAAGAAGCTGCTGGGGAAACAGGATTGTGGTTCAAAGTCAGGAATCAGGACGAATCTTATTTTATCAGCTGGAATGTGGGATAAGATGGGAACTGGGTAGGCTTATCGCCAGTGGCCCTTGGAGCGGGAATGACTCTCCTCTCCAATTGTAAAACAAAAAGGGAGTGGATTTTGGCCGACTGCAGCCACAGTCCACAGCAGGAGTTAGCAACTAGCGGCCCGCAAGGGAAATCCGGCCCAGGGGGCAATGTGGTGCCAGGGCAAGAGGGAGTGAATTGGGTAAAGGCTGGCATGGCCTGCAAGGAAACAGCAGCCAATATTATAAACACTGTTGCACCAGCCACCTCTCCACTTGTCCACAGACCAGAACAAAGATCCAGGTTTTTCAATAACATCATGTGTGGAGACTCAGGCCTTATCATGTGACCTGCAGTGGTCCATTGGCCTCAGGCGGCACATCACTTTCCCTGAGCCGGAAACCTTAAGAGAGCCAGCGGCGAACTTCTAAAGTTACAGATAGATTTATTATGGTCAGAAACCAGCTTATAAAACACACTTGGGGGTACAATCACAGAAGGAAAACAAACATTTAAAACAATGCACAACAATAAATTTAAAATTTATAAATGCGATAAGCATATAGACACTTAAAACTTGAAGATAAGCTACCACACAGAGATGAACCAGAGTCACCCATGGAACGGAGTTTGGGGATTTTCTTAACGAACTAGTTTCGGTTAGGGGATGGTCTGCGCCTACAAATCTGTACACAGAATCTGGTGACCATCTGGGTCGTCTTATGATCTTTGCCTACAGGAGAAGGTCAAATTTTTGCTTTTCCGGGAGGTCAGCAAGCCTCAACAGCAGGGGATCAATGTAAAGTTACAGTATTCTGCTTCTGTTCTGGCACGGCAGAAACAGTGGCATCAGGTTCCTGTTGGGTCTGGTAGGGTGGGAGGCTGGGAGGCCAGCAGTAGGGGGCGCCAGAGCCAATGGCAGGAATAGCCAACTCATTCCAGTTTTGTCCCCATCCTGCTGCTCCGCCCTGCTGAGTTCTCCAAGGAGCAACGCTGAGACTATGGAGGAGGAGGGTCACACGCCAGGGCAACCCCCTGAATTGGTTGTAAGTTAAGTTGGGAGGGTGGTTGAGAGGCTGGCTGAAGGTAAAGACTGAGGGTGGATCTACACACAGGGAAAAAAAATGCTATAGATATGCAGTGCATCTTTTCTGGAGGTACGCAGGGGTCCGCATACCTCTAAACATTTTGTGAATCTTTGTACTTTTGTCCATTTCCTGTATTTATTTCCCCCGATTTGAACTATAAAATGGTGATTTTCTTGAGGCAAAATGAGAGTACCCCTAAACATTTTTTAAAGAAAAAAAGCACTGTAGATATGTCAGAAATTATAACAAAGGGGGGGGGACTCTATGTAAAATCGCATAGAAAAATTTCCTGCTCTACAGCGCCATCTGGTGTCTCAGTGTTATAACACATAAAAACGCTTTTTTTTTTACTAACGTAGCTGAGTTGGGTGCTAGAGAAAGTTTTAAGGCAGCATGTGGCTGCACTGGACGCCGTGCTGCAGGGGCCGCCGCAAAAATGTTGTGGAACGGTGGTGGGTGCTGAATTTTAGCATTGCACGGGCTGCTGCTGAAATGTGAGAGCCCAACTTCTGCCACTGTTGGTCAGTGTCCCCTTTGCCCAAACGCACAGATAAAGCACAATGCTTGCATGTCCACATCCCTGATCAACGTCCGTCCAGCCTCTGTGTAAATACTGTAATTTTTGCTCTATAAGACTCACTTTTTCCTAAAAAGTAAGGGGAAATGTGTGTGCGTCTTATGGAGCGAATGCAGGCTGCGCAGCTATCCTAGAAGCCAGAACTGCAAGAGGGATCGCTGCTTTCACTGCACAGCAATCCCTCTTGCTCTTCTGGCTTCTGAGATTCATATTTTTTTTCTTGTTTTCCTCCTCCAAAAACTAGGTGCATCTTGTGGTCTGGTGCATCTTATAGAGCAAAAAATACGGTATGTTTGGTGGAGGGCAGCCGGCCACATCCCATTTGCCCTATCGAACCAGCCTCCATTACGTGGTGAGGGATATTACCCCATGGGCAGAGCTGGGATAATTCGCTGCCAGTCTGGTCGGGTTCTGCAGAATGACTTGGGCCAGCCTGGTCGTGACAATCAGAGGACCAGACAGCGAGGGATGGAAGGAGATCCCATCCGAAGGCACCGGGTTTGGGAAGTCGAGTCTGGAGTGTGCGGAAAAGAGGAAAGGAGGGATTCGGAGAAAAGGAGGTGTTAGAAAATGATTGAAAGGGTGTTTGTGTGTGTGTGTGTGTGTGTGTGTGTGTGTGTGTGTGTGTGTAAAAAGAGAGAGGGGAGAGTGTGGCAGAATGGGAAAGAGAGAAAGATAAACAGAGAAAGGAAAAGAAGGAAAAGGGAGTGGCAACAGAGAGAATAATAATAATAATAATGATAATAAATTCTGAAGGAAATCAGCCCTGAGTGCTCCCTGGAAGGACAGATCCTGAAGCTGAGGCTCCAAGACTTTGGCCACCTCATGAGAAGAGAAGACTCCCTGGAAAAGACCCTGATGTTGGGAAAGATGGAGGGCGCAAGGAGAAGGGGACGGCAGAGAACGAGATGGTGGGACAGTGTTCTCGAAGCTACCAGCATGAGTCTGACCAAACTGCGGGAGGCAGTGGAAGACAGGAGCGCCAGGCGTGCTCTGGTCCAGGGGGTCACGAAGAGGCGGACACGACTAAACAACAACACAACAACAATAATAAATTTTATTTATAACCCGCCCTCCCCGGCCAGAGCCAGGCTCAGGGCGGCTAACACCAGTAAAATTACAGTAAAAACATAATAGGTAAAAACCCCAATTTAAAATACAGGTTAAAATGCAATTTAAAATGCAGCCTCATTTTAAAGTAGCTGATAAATCAAGACCACAAGGGGAGGGAAACATAAGGGTCAGACTGAGTCCAAACCAAAGGCCAGGCGGAACAGCTCTGTCTTGCAGGCCCTGCGGAAAGATGTCAAGTCCCACAGGGCCCTGGTCTCTTGGGACAGAGCGTTCCACCAAGTCGGGGCCAGTACTGAAAAGGCCCTGGCCCTAGTTGAGACCAATCTAACCACCTTGCGACTTGGGACCTCCAAAGTGTTGTCATTTGTGGACCTTAAGGTCCTCCATGGGGCATACCAGGAGAGGCGGTCCCGTAGGTACGTGGGTCCTAGGGCTTTAAAGGTCGCTCTTGGCTCTTCTGTTGCCCGCTGCCAACGTGCAGCCCCACACGGATTTTCCTCCCCAAGGGAGAGTGGTCTTTGACACGGGGGGCTCCTGGCCTACACAAATCCTTTGACCACATCCCAGACTAAAAAAAACCCACCTTCTGTTAACCCAGCCTGTGCCAAGCCAAACGAAAGGCGGCCTGACCGTAAGTATCACGGAGATCCGAGAGAAGAATGGGACTTTGAATACCCAAACAGTGCGCTGGGGCCCAATGCATCGCGGCCTCCCAGCGCCGGACAAAAGCCTCATTCAAAAGATGGGAAGACGCCTGTTCGCACCATGCAGACTTTGCTCAAAGCCGGGCTGAAGGTCTCGTCGATGGCGGTGGCCGCTGGCGAGGAAAACATATGACCTAAGGCTTCAAACGTAATAAATTGCGGGGTGTGGAGGAGGAGACAAGTTGAGGCTCTGTTTCCTTAGAAAGGGAAGCCTTTCTTTTGGGGGGGACAGTTTTGACACCTTTGAGGGATTCATCGGACGACGCCCCTGCTGCTGCGCATCGCCACGGCCTCTGTATACCGGGTGGAAAAGTTTCCTGAAATGGACAAGAAGTGTGTTATGTACTGAGTTGAATAGGATTCAGAATGCAGCAGTCTGATTGGTCCTAGAACAATAGGATTCAGAATGCAGCAGTTTGATTGGTCCTAGAACAACGGGATCCAGAATGCAGCAGTCTGATTGGTCCTAGAACAACAGGATCCAGAATGCAGCAGTCTGATTGGTCCTAGAACAATGGGATCCAGAATGCAGCAGTCTGATTGGTCCTAGAACAATAGGATTCAGAATGCAGCAGTCTGATTGGTCTTAGAACAATAGGATTCAGAATGCAGCAGTCTGATTGGTCCCAGAACAATAGGATCCAGAATACAGCAGTCTGATTGGTCCTAGAACAATAGGATTCAGAATGCAGCAGCCTGATTGGTCCCAGAACAATAGGATCCAGAATGCAGCAGTCTGATTGGTCCACAGGAGCCACCCAATCCAGCTCCAGGTGGAAGTGAATCCGCAACCAGATTGGCCTACAGGAGAATCCCGGAATTAGCCAGTCATGTGGGGCCCATTGTGTAAATAATGTATATAAAGCAGACATTCTGGGGGAACTTCCATTCCTCCTCAACCACTATGAGCTGAATAAAGAGCATGAAATCCACTCTCGACTCCGAGTATATTTCAAAGTGGAATAAATAGAGTCCTTCCAAATCTCACAGTGTGCTGCTGCATGGATAGTTTATGTACATTTCATGAAGTTTAATCCTAAAGGAAGAATCACAGGTCAGTGGGCAGACTGGCTGCCTTGAGTGCAGAAGGTGCCAGGTCCCCAGTCGCATCTCCTGGTAGGACTGGGGGCAATCTCCCATCAGAAACCCTGGAGAGCTGCTGCCAGTCAGTGTATACAGTGCTGAGATGGATGGACCATTGGTCTGGCTGGGTGTGAGGCTGCAAGCCGTACATTTAAAGCACCTCCCTATTCAAGAATTTTGGGAATTGTAGTTTACTATTGTCAGAGCCACTGTTCCCTGCACCTTTAACAATTGCAGGTTGAATGAACCTAACACCTGTGGCAGCAATTGTAAATGTGCTGAGCTAGATTATTATTATTTTTAAATTTCTTCTTTTATTTCCTATCTCTATTTAGAGAATTTTATTTGCTTAGACAATTTAATTCCCGCTAATTGCTATTGCCTCTAACTGGTGCACAAGGTACGCAGCGTAAAGAAAAATAAAAATAAGTCAAGTCTCTAAAATCCCATAGGATTTAAATGTTTAATAAAAATAATGCAATGTAAGAAATAATGGGAGTGGTTGAAATACAATTAGAAGCCAATGCAAACATTTAATGCGGCATCTCCCCTCGGGCCACCAGTGTGGAGTTCGCGAAGCACAGCCTGGGACCCCAGAAGACCGGAAAATAAAGAAATTTAAAATGACTTTTTGAAAAATATCAACAAATTTAAGAGTCACACTAAGGCAAACCAGTGCAAAAGAATGAAGCAGTAATTCACGAATAACATCTCCTCTCTGGAGCAGAAAAATAAGCTGAAGACATCAGTGGGCAAATTTTAGCTTTGAAAAGCCTTGGGAAAAATCACCAATATTCAAATTGCTACTTACCGCCATAGAGAAGCCCATGCCTAGAGCGGCTCCATCGCTCAGCGCCCATAGACTCTCAGTCTATGGGGCGGTCTTTAGTCTTACCATAGAGGGATAGAGAGGAAGGAGAAGGGGAAACAAACATGGCCGCTCCCCATAGAGGTGACAAGTGATAGAGCGTCCGAGAAAATCCTCGGGTCAACCATGGCCGCTTACCATTGTACCATAGAGATGGCGACGGATAGAGCGGCAACCCCCTCTAGGAAGAGAGCGGGAGAACGCACGTCGGAGGAAGAGGTGGGCCTTTCCCATACGTACCGGATATATCCATTGTGAGACGCTCCCTCACCTCGGTGGCTTCGTTTTCAAACCCAGCCGAGGCGCACTTCCGGTTCCGCCATTTTGCCTCCCTTTCGGCGCCGAGGGGGGAGGGGAGGAGAGGGGAGGGGCTTGAAAAAGAAAAACCAATTTAATATATATATATATATATTCCCATGATGATAATAACCTATATTTTTTAAAAAGGCTAAGGGCTTTTTTTTTTTAAAGGAAAGATGCCGGTAGGAAGTTAGGAGAGGAGAAGAACCGAACCCCAGACGCCTCTGAGGGGGTGAGTGAAGGGGGGAAAGAGGGTGGGGGGGTCGTTGTTGTTGGGGGGGGAGCCGGGTTGCTTTATGAGGGGGGGCAGTTGGCGTGAGGGGATGAGGCGGCGGAGGCCCGAGAGAGAGAGAGAGAGAGAGAGAAAGAAAGAAAGAAAGAAAAAGAAAGAAAGAAAAGAAAGAAAAAGAAAGGAAGGAAGGAAAGAGACGACCTCGCAGGGCTGTTGTGAAGAAGAGAGAGAGAGAAAGAAAGGAGGGAAAGCGCCACGTCCGCCGCCTCGAGCTCCTCGGAAGAAAGGGCAGCCTTGGAAATAACGCTGGATTTAATGCAGGAATCAACGAACACACAAATTCTTTGATTCTTCCTCTTCTTCTTCTTCTTTTAATGAAGCGGTATATAAACAAACAGATAAATGCTGGGAGCAATGGCAATAAAGTAATAGGAACTCGAAACAACCACACTAAGCAAAGCAGGTCCTGCCCCACAGAAAAGAGGCCACAAATATTTGTGTGTGTGTGTGTGTGTTTGAAAACCGCTTTAAACTAAGGGAAGCTTTTCCCCTAATGGGTTTGCTAGTTTTCAAGGTTGCAGAAGACTCTTTGGGGCAGGAAGACCTGTAAGTGGAGTGATGGGAGTGGTTTTCTCCCCCCCCCTAAAATGGGTATCGAGGATTATGGATTTAATTTGGCTTCATTCCCAAGAGAGACCTCGAAGCCCTTTGCCGTATAATGACGGACGCGCGTGCACACACACACACATATATATATGTATGTGTGTGTGTGTGTGTAATGTAATATCTAAAATGTAATACACACAGACACATATATATATAGGGACAGAAGACACACACATATGTACATACATATATATATATATATATGTGTGTGTGTATACATAATGTACATACATATATATATAGGGACAGAAACAGGATGCTAAAAAAGGCCAGGAGAGCCGTGGGCTCTTGCCAATACATTTGAGTGGAAATACAACAAACAAGCACGCTTCTCCCTGTAACCCCATTTTCGGGTCCTGCCTTTGGTGGGGATACAGAGGGAGGAGGAGGCCTCCCCCCCCTTTATCTTATCTCATCGTTTCTTGGTGCAGGGGAACATGCCTGCCTCTGTGGGTGGATGCCATGTGCATTTCAATTAAATATTAGCGTTTGCTCCCCCCCCCCCTGTTTTAATATTTGTACAGACCCCTTCGTATGTGTACGATGTAAATATCAAGTGGAAACATCCTTTACGTGTTTATTTTAAATATGCGTATACACGTGTGCCTGTACACATTCATTATTTTCTGTTCCGTTCGACAAGTCTTGATTGCAAAGAAGCCTCTGAACGGTTTGCAAAGATACCATGTGTATCTTTCACGTAAAAGTTTCTAGGGGGTTTGTTTGCCCTGTCGCAGCGAGATCAAGGACTCGCCTCCTGGCAGCCAGCTAGGCCAGTGGCGAGGGATGACGGGAGATGGAGTCCAGGGGAACTGGGAAGGCTGCAGGTTTCTCACTCCCTGCTGTAAAGAATTGGCCTTGCTGTATTGTGAACCAGCGCTTAAGGTCTTACGTGTTGCACTGTGCTCCTGGCAAGTGGTTATAGGAGGGGCTGGAGCATTTAATAGTTGTCATGCCTTTAAAAATGCTAAATTATAGCCTTGTGGAGTTTCATGTCCTCTTCTTGAACCGTACCATATCCTCTGCTCTCTCTCGCACCCCATGTCAAACTCCAGATTTTTGAAACCATCTGTTCCCATGTATCAAGATGTCCCTGGTGGACCTGGGGAAGAGGCTGCTGGAAGCGGCTCGCAAAGGCCAAGATGACGAAGTCAGGACGTTGATGGCAAACGGGGCGCCTTTCACTACGGACTGGGTGTGTATGGAGGGCAACAATATTGCGGGGGACGGGAGAGGGAAATGGGGGGAAAGGTTCTTTTGCTGGGATCACAGCAACAAATTCATGGCTACTAGTCACGATGGCTCTGCTCCGCTTGCACACAGTGTTCTAAATACAGTGGTCCCTCGGGTTACAGACGCTTCAGGTTACAGACTGCACTAACCCAGAAATACAGTGGTGCCTCGCAAGACGAAATTAATCCGTTCCGCGAGTCTCTTCGTCTTGCGGTTTTTTCGTCTTGCGAAGCGCGGCTATTAGCGCCTTAGCGGCTTATTAGCACCTTAGCGGCTATTAACGGCTTAGCGGCTTTAAGAAAAAGGAAACAAACTCGCAAGAACTCGCAAGACGTTTCGTCTTGCGAAGCAAGCCCATAGGGAAATTCGTCTTGCGGAACGACTCAAAAAACGGAAAACCCTTTCGTCTAGCGAGTTTTTCGTCTTGCGAGGCATTCGTCTTGCTGGACACCACTTTAGTACCTCTGGTTAAGATCTTTGCTTCAGGATGAGAACAGAAATCACATGGTGGCGGCACAGCAGCAGCAGGAGGCCCCGTTAGCTAAAGTGGTGCTTCAGGTTAAGAACAGTTTCAGGCTAAGAACGGACCTCCAGAACGAATTAAGTTCTTAACCCGAGGTACCACTGTACCAGCTGCTGAATTCCATGGGAGTGGAGCGGGATGTGCTCCTCAAATCCTACTTGCTTGTTTCTTATGTACTATAGAGCTATGGTCTATTTTTAATTTATTGAATTTATATGGAGCAAGCAGATACAGTAGTACCTTGGTTCTCGAACTTAATCTGTTCCGGGAGTCCGTTCGACTCCCAAAACCATTCGAAAACCAAGGTGTGGTTTCCGATTGGCTGCAGGAGCTTCCTGCACTCCATCGGAAGCTGCGTCGGACGTTTGGCTTCCGAAAAGCGTTCACAAACCGGAACACTTACTTCCGGGTTTGCGGCGTTCGGGAGCCGATTTGTTCATCAACTAAGCTGTTTGAGAACCAAGGTACCACTGAATACAATTTAACAACAAAGCAAAACATTCGAAAGCAGTTCTGAAAACAATTACAATTAAAAGCATCTAAAAGCAAGTACAGTTAGGAATTTAGGAACACTCTAAAGGCAACTACAATAAAAAACATTTGTGCATCTGATGATCTTGAGGGCCTCTCTGTATTCCTCAGCCACCAAATTCCTGGGAGAGTTTTCAGATTGCTCCTGGAAGTTAATGATGATGGAGACAGGTGCACTTTGCTAGGGAAAGCATTCCACAACCGGGGAGCCACTACTGAAAAGGCCCTGTAATGGGTCAGTGCCAACCAGGCAGCTCCCAGTGGCGGCAGCATCAACAAGGCTTCACCTGCTGATTGTGGGGTCTGGGGCATTTTGTACTGGGGAAGGCGCTCTATTAGGTACTTGGGTCCCAAACCTTTTAAGGGTTTATATGCTCATACTAACACATCTGCTGAAATAAATAATTGTGGATTTGTGAACAGTATATTGTGTCTATTCTATGCAACTCTGTCTGCACCAGTTTCAGAGGAACCCAGATTTGCAACCTCTCAGACAGTGTTGGACTCCCAGCTCCCATCAGCGTACCTGCCCATTGGCTGTGGTGATGGGGCATGATGGGCGCTGGAAGCGATTGACACCTGGAGGGGCATAGGTTCTCTACACACTTGTTATAGAAGACTGCATGGTCAGCTGAAGCCATTTGTCCCCCACTCCCCTGTCCACAAGGCACAAAGTCCCTGCATGCCTCCTGAGTCACGGAGATTGCGTGCCGCCTTGAATACGAGGGGAGCATCCGCAGAGCCATATACGAGCCCCTTCATCGTGGAGCATAGTCAGGGACGGTGGACTGTTCCGTAAGAAGGTGGTAACGTTTTCCTGTTCACTCGTCCGGCAGCTGGGAACATCCCCTCTTCATCTGGCAGCTCAGCATGGCCACTATTCCACGGCGGAAGTCCTGCTCCGAGCGGGAGTGAGCAGAGACGCACGGACCAAGGTGGACAGGACGCCGCTGCACATGGCGGCCGCTGACGGGCACTCGCACATCGTGGAGCTCCTCATCAGGGTAAATGATCTTCTGTCGTAACAGGGGTGGCTTTAAAAAGACCTGAGCAGCGGTTAAGGTTAAGCAACGAGGTGTCAGGTTGGGAATAACAGCAGAACCTAAAGACCACCATCTGTTTTCACCCATAGAAGCAGTAATAAGAAATTATCCTTCTTCCCCTCTCTGCTGAACCTTCACTGATTCGTTTACCCACATCTTGCTTTTGTCATAGTGTCTTGTTCAGGCATAGGCAACCTTTGGCCCTCCAGATGTTTTGGACTACAATTCCCATCATCACTGACCACTGGTCCTGTTAGCTAGGGATCATGGGAGTTGTAGGCCAAAACATCTGGAGGGCCGAAGGTTGCCTATGCCTGGTCTTGTTGGTACATTGGGACAGACTAGCATAGTTGTATTCCTGTTGTCTCGACTGTGGCTAGAGTAGCATTTGCGCCAGCGTAGAGAGCTGAAAAGCACTTCCTTGGAGCATCCTTGATGGTGTGGGCTGTTTGATTTCTTTGCACGGCCGGGGAGCAGCGTTCCCCATGCTCCTCATGCAATTGGCTTTGACCCATAGCTGCTGTTTCTCTTCCCCCTGCTCGTCAGAACGGTGCCGACGTGAACGCCAAGGACATGCTGAAGATGACGGCGTTGCACTGGGCGACGGAGCACAACCACCGCGACGTCGTTGAGCTGCTCGTCAAGTACGGGGCCAACGTGCACGCCTTCAGCAAGTTTGACAAGTCTGCCTTTGACATCGCGCTGGACAAGAACAACCCAGAGACCTTGTTGATACTTCAGGTGGGAGAGAAACGCTGCCTTTTTGTCCCCAACAGAACACCAGCCCTGATAAACTGTATCTTTAAAGGTAAAGGTACCCCTGCCCTTATGGGCCAGTCGTGTCCGACTCTAGGGTTGTGCACCCATCTCACTCAAGAGGCCGGGGGCCAGCGCTGTCCGGAGACACTTCCGGGTCACGTGGCCAGCGTGACGAAGCTGCTCTGGCGAGCCAGCACCAGCGCAGCACACGGAAACGCCGTTTACCTTCCCGCTATAAAGCGATACCTATTTATCTACTTGCGCTTAGGGGTGCTTTCGAACTGCTAGGTGGGCAGGAGCTGGGACCGAAAGACAGGAGCTCACCCCGCCGCGGGGATTCGAACTGCCGACCATGCGATTGGCAAGTCCTAGGCACTGAGGTTTTAACCACAGCGCCACCCGCGTCCCTAAAACTGTATCTTAATGAGGACCTAAAAGGGTATAAAATATCCCGAACGCCCTCCAAAACAGCAGTGCTTTTTATTTTTTTATTATTATTATTATTATTATTATTATTATAACTTGCTGTCTGAACCTCCATTGGCAAAGGAGCTGAGTGAGTTCCTTCTGTGAGGGTGTCCCACAATCCAAGCACCCTCGCCACGAAAGGAGCACATCAGACAGTGAGGGAAAGGGGTGAGTAGAGGAGCAGGTAAAGGCCTTAGGAGATCCTGGCCCAACACTGTCATCTGGGTCTAGGACAATGCTATGCTTGTGGTTAGCAATACTGGCGTTTATCTCTTTTAGACCCGTAGGACTGGCACCTAAAAATAGCACTGCCTCTTTTAGATTTCTGATGTCTTTCTCCCATCTCACAGCTGAAGCAGAATACGCCGACAAGCCTTGAAAGTTTAATTTCTTTTGACCCAAGGCAGTATTTTCATCTACATGTTTGGCAAGATTTTGTTAGCAGTTTGTATAAAACAGTATAACACATTCATAAAAAATACTGATAGAACCAAAGGTTCAAAACTAATGAATGTCCAATTCATCAAAATAGAAATAAAACCGGAAGTTTTAAAAGCAGGTCTACGTAATAAGATGGCGTGTCTGAGTGTGTCTATGTAAATGAAAAATGTTTTAAGCAGATGTTGCAAAGAGTACAGTTGTACTTTCGTTGCCGAATGCCTTGGTACTCGTACGTTTTGGCTCCCAAACTACTGAAAACCAGAAGTGAGTGTTCCAGTTTTCAAATGATTTTTGGAAGCTGAACATCTGGCACGGCTTCTGTGGTTTCTGATTGAGTGCAGGAAGCTCCTGCAGCCAATTGGAAGCCACACCTTGGTTTTTGAACGGTTCCAGCAGTCGAACGGTGACTGTATGGTGAAGGCATTTTCCTAATGTCAATGAGCAATGCTGCAACGCTGAAAGATTGATTCCTTGCAAGTGTGAAAGCAGTTGAGTAGGCACATATGGAGCAAGGTGATTCCCCCTTGAATTTGTCCGGGTAACAAATCGGCACCCAGTGCGGATCTCTGAGCCTGAAGTGTAACACGCTGAGAGGGTCTTGCTCCTGTCAGGGGTTGTGCCTCAAAAACGGCAGTTTTTGGACCAAGGATTCTCCAGCAATGGGCTTGCAAAGAGGTGGCTGGATATGGCAAGTGGAAGGCTGTTTTGAGGCAAGCATTTAAGAAGGAACATCTGCCTGAATCATGGCATCGTTCTCTTCCTCAGGAAGCAATGCAAAACCAGGTCAACACCAACCCCGAGAGAGTGAACCCGGTCCCAGGCTCCGTCACCGTGGGCCAGCCGTTTATTTTGGCTTCAGGAGACATGATGAGTCTGGCCAGCATCGTCTCCTCGGCAGGCACCAAAACAACCTCAGGTAGGACTCTGGCAACGGCCGCACCCACTTCCTCCCCTCTTGCTGTGTCAACACAGGATAGTGAAACCGCCTCTGCGCATGTCTGCCATTCTGGGATGTCTCTGTTAACATCCTTTGTTCCCTCTTCCACCCTCCCGGGCAGGCGATTCCCACATTTCCACGGTGCAGTTTCCAAACTCAACAACCTCAGTCCTTGCCACGCTGGCAGCCATCGCAGAAGCCTCCGGCCCGCTTTCCAACTCAAACAGAGCTCCCGGTAGGTCGAAAGGAATCTGGGTATTAGTCGCCAGGGATGGGTGGACTGGTGGAAAGACTTTGGGCATTGTCCCTATGCAGTCTGTCTCAACTCTGATGGGAAAAAGCAGGCCATCTCTGCTCCCTCTCCAGCACCCTCCTGTCCATCCAGATCATAAGCAGGGAGGGGGGGATTGGCTTAGCTCGCTGGACTTCCCCCAGTAACCTGGTGGGCATTATAAAAACAAACTAGTTAGTTACAGTAGCGTGCTCTTTAACGAATGCTAGCAATAAAAATAAACAGAAAAGCAATACATAAAAGTTACAGAATCCTGTAAACAAGACCAATAAACAAGGAAACAATTACATCATAAGGTAAACAAACAAAATTACAACATGAATTAATATTTCCAGTTTAACAAAATGCAAGCCTCAAGGCTAGCAGGGCTGCCAGGTACCCACTGCTTAACCCCTGAGAGACCTGCCACAAAGGCACACTTCTGAAATATTTAGGGGTAGGATGAGGAACCAGCGACTCTTCAGATGCTGACTCCAACCTCCAGCAGCCAGCAAGGCCAGAGGTTGTAGACGCAGCAACATCTGGATAGCAACAAACTCCCCATCCCTGTTCGGATCCTCACAAGCCTTACACACACACACACACACACACACACACACACATGTGGAAACAAAGAGCTAGTAGTGTTACTCTCCCTCCAATCCCCCCATAGTGCATTTTAAAGCAGGGAGAGGGAAACTGCCTGCCTCCCACCAGCAAGACAAATAGTCGGGGTGAGCATCCGGCAGGCCTCAGGTCCCGCCAGTTCTGAGTTAGGCCAATCAAGGTCTCTGTGTTCAGAAAACAGCCATGCCCCTACACAAAAAAAGGGAGCTAGAAACCCTTCCGTTCCCTGTGCTGCCATGAGGTCTAGAAACCTCGTTTTGAGTTTCTCGAGCCCATTCCAACAAACGCGGAAACCGCAGCTGCGTGTGGGTTGCTAGACCTCATTTGCTCATTTTCTTTGTGGCGCCAGTTTTTAAGTGCTGTGTTTGTCCAGGTGGCCCCCAAAGCTGTGATTTAAGCTCTTTCCTCCCTGGTTAAATTTTTTTAAAAAAGTAACAGAAGTGGCTGAGCTCTTGCCATTTCTTTCTTCTTTCTCTCTTTTTTTTTGCAGCATCTGAGGAAACAGTGGACTCCAGCTCTGCCAGTTCCCCCCTCCAGCACGTGGTCGGTGGCGGGGGCCGGCGGATTATCACGATCATGACCGACGGCGTCCATCTGGGCAACCTCCAGGCGGCCCTTCCCAGCGGGGCCCTCGGCCAGCCCTTCATCGTGACGATGCAGAATGGGCAGCAAGGTAAGGGAAAGGGGAACGACTCCAGGGGAGAGGTGCGAGCTGCTCCCTCAGCCAGCATCAAACAGAAGAGCAGAGAGTGTGGGGGACAAACCTCTGGCCCTTCCAGTGTGGCTGGACACTTGACTACATCTGGGAGGTGTTATGAGAGCCACCTTCAAATTGCTGGAGAAGACAAGCAGGCTTGATCTTCTGTTGCTCTGGAGTGGAGGATCCTAAGCAGCAGTTTCATAGGACAAGGAGATGTCAACCAAACATTAAGAAGAACTTTTCTGACGGCAAGAGCTGTTTGACAGTGGAATGGACAATTTTGGAAGGCGATGGACTCTCCTTCCCTGTAGGTTTTTAAGCAGAAGTTGGGTGGCCGTCAGTCAGGACTTCCTTAGCTGCCATTGCTGCTTTGCAGGGATTTTGGACTTTGATCACCATCCCTGGCCTTTGGAGGGCATTCCTGTCTGGAAGGCAACAGGTTGTCAAAGGCCTGCATAGTACAGTGGTACCTCGCAAGACGAATGCCTCGCAAGACAAAAAACTCGCTAGACGAAAGGGTTTTTTGTTTTTTGAGCTGCTTCGCAAGACGATTTTCCCTGTGGGCTTGCTTTGCAAGACGGAAACGTCTTGCAAGTTTGTTTCCTTTTTCTTGACACCGTTAATACAGTTGCGACTTGACTTCGAGGAGCAACTCATAGAACGCGGTGTGGTAGCCTTTTTTGAGGTTTTTAAAGACTTTGGTGATTTTTGAAGCTTTCCCAAAACTTTCCCGACACCGTGCTTCGCAAGACGAAAAAAATCGCAAGACGGCAAAACTCGCGGAACGAATTAATTTCGTCTTGCGAGGCACCACTGTATCTTTTTGGCCTGGCAAGCCAGACCTCATCTCTGCCCCACCTTCCCCTTCCACAGTCCCAACTGCGTGGGGCCACCCATCCGAAGGAACTTGGCTGAAGATCGTGGGTATGAAATAGGGTTGCCGTTTGGAAAACCCCAAAGTTGACGAGCCTTTTAAAGACAAACCCCAAAGTTGTTGAGATTTGTTTTCCCCAAAAATGCCACAAACACCCTGCGATTTTTCAATTGAGTTGTCTTAAGATCCAGGACAAAGCCAGACGTCAATTCTGCCTTTGAAATCCCAGAAATGTCCGGCAAAATCCGGGTGCATGGCAGCCCTGTCGAAAACAATAGAAAGAACAATAATATAATAATTGTTATTATCTTTATTATACAGCAATTTAAATACAGTATTAAAGAAATTGAATTGAGCTATGAACTGAAGATGAACCGACCAAGCTCTGTTCTGTAAAGGGGCGAACGTGAACTGCAGTTAGTCGAGGCTGGAATGGCTCCCGTTCTAAAAACTGGACTTTCCAACCCCTGAGCAGAACTGCGTGCTTTCCTCCCCTCACCAGAATTTCCTCTCTCTCTCTCTCTCTCCGTCCCCCCGCCCCCCGCACCTTGCAGTCCTCACAGTGCCTGCTGGTCAGGTCGCAGAAGAAACCGTCATCGAGGAGCAAAGTGACAGCGATCACCACATAGTAGAGGAGGAGGAGGAGGAGCCCCCTGCCAAGAAGATCAAGGTGGAGGAAGTTGCAGATGACCTGGAAGAAAGCAAGGTAAAGTGGGGCCTTTTGGGCACCCATGTCTTAGAATGGCGAGAAATTTTACTTACTTTTACAGTGGTACCTTGGATCCCGAACGCCCTGGAACCCGGACGTTTTGGCTCCCGAACGATTGAAACCCGGAAGTGATTGTTCCGGTTTGCGAATGTTCTTTTGGAAGCCGAACGTCCTTCTGCGGCTTCCGATTGGCTGCAGGAGCTTCCTGCAGCCAATCGGAAGCTGTGATTTGGTTTTCGAACGTTTTGGAAATCAAATGGACTTCCGGAATGGATTCCTTTTGACTTCCAAGCTACGACTGTTGTTATTTTGTTGCAATCATATCCCATCATTTTCCCTCCCAAGAAACTCAACATGGCGTAATCTGGTGAACCGGGTTCGCATCCCTGCTCCTCCACATGCAGCTGCTGGGTGACCTTGGGCCAGTCACACTTCTCTGAAGTCTCTCAGCCCCACTCACCTCACAGGGTGTTTGTTGTGGGGGAGGAAGGGAAAAGAGAATGTTAACCGCTTTGAGACTCCTTCCGGTAGTGATAAAGCGGGATATCAAATCCAAACTCTTCTTCTTTATTCTCACAATAGCCCTGTGAGGTAAGTTAGGCTGAGAGGCAGCGAGGGGCCCAAGGAGCTTCATAGGCAAGTGGCAGGATTTGAACCCTAGTCCAACACTCTTAGGCACAAGCAGTTCTCCCTTTTTGCCAGAAAGATTTTACTTGTGCATCCCTTCACAGAGGGAAGATGGACAGGGGCCTCTGTGCCTTTCCCCCCCTCCGCAGCCCATGAGGTCTAGAACCTTGCTTTCCCCCCAGCAGTAAACTGGGATCTTTAGCCCAGCCCTGATCCACCATCCATCCACCCCCCTCTTTGGAGGAAGCCCTCTCTGCAGCTGCCCTGAGCCGCCCCTCCTGACAAAGACATGGGTCTGCTTCCCCCCCCCCCGTAGGAGAGGGAGATTTTGCAGCAGCAACTGCAGGAAGCCAACCGCCGCGCTCAGGAGTACCGCAGCCGGCTGATGAAGAAGGAGCTGGAGGCGGAGGGGTACCGGCAGAAGCTGGAAGCCATGGACAGGCAACAGGCCAACGGGACGGAAGGGGTCGCGGAGGACGACGGCGAAGGCCAGGCGGTCAGCTCTGCCGCCGTGTCGGAAGAGGAGGCCGTCAGCTCCACGGTGGACCTGGAACTCCCGACCGACGTCGCGGTGGAGACGGTCAGCACCTCGTAACCCTTCAGGTCGCCCTTTCGCTTACTTTCTTAAAATAGGAAAATCAAAAGGATTAACACTTCCCTGGGAAAAAGGGGAGAGAAGGAAGCCACACCCCTCCCTCCAAAGAAACTCTGGACAAAAGTCCTTTGGTGGGGGACAGTTCACAGTCAACCCCCCCTACCCCCTCTCCTGTCCTCGCTTTCCCCCCCTTTCAGAACAGGGCTTTAAACACACACAGCCATAAAATAAATGCCTTTTTTTTTATAATCTCCCTAGACGTTCAGAGAGAGATATTTTTGTTACCGGAAGCCCTTTTTATAAGCCGCCAGCAAGTGACCTAAAGCACCGAACCAAACCTGGCCCTTTTTATGAGGGCGAGGCAGCCTTATTGTCAGGGTGCCAGCCCTCTCTGGAACGGGGTGGGAATGCTGATGTATGCAGCCCAGTTTCTCGGGGGGCCGGAGGCAGAAAACAGGAGCAGATCCACAGGACGTTCCCTCCCCCCCCCCACCAAATGGCCCCAGTTGCTGAAGGACCCTGCATGCAAATTGACAGGAGGCACTCACTTTCCTGTTTCCTGAGGCCTTGACAATAGCCGGTGCGACAAAGGCAAGCTCGCCTCTTAGAAACACTGGAAGCGGCTTGTATCGAAAGCATTGCCCTTGGTGCTGAGCCTATGAGCTGCCCTCTCTGTACCTCCTGGGGGCCGAGGGGGAGGGTTTTATTAGCTCTGGGGGTTCCCTTGAATTCCAGTCGCTCCTCTCGCTTATCTGGCTGGAGGGGCATGTGTGTGTGAGAGAGAGAGAGACTGTACAAACCAGCCTTATTAGATTACAAAAGGTAGAAATCCACGCCCGTTGCTCCACCCACTATCTCCTCTGGCCCTGCGCACCTCTGCCAGGTGGCCCCTGGAAGATGGGGATGCGGCCCCTGGGCTGCAGAAGCTTCCCTGGCCCCGGCATAAGCCTGCCTGCCTGTGCCTTGTGAGATGTGCATATTTACCTCTGGCTCAGGGATGGAGGGATGTCTGCAGCCCTTCCGGATGCTCCCAGGCCGCAAGCCGCACCCTCCTTGTCCTCCTTTAATCCCCATCCTATTCTGACTGGGGCTGGTGGGACTTGGGGTCAACCTGTGGAAGGCTGCAGGTGTCGTCTCTCCCCTGTTTCTGTCCCCCAGGCTTGCTCTTCGCTCTGTGCAGGCCTTTGGGATATTCAGCTTTCAGAAGGACCCCAAAGACTCTCGCCCTTGTCTGTCTCCCTTCACCCTCGCGCCCTCAGCCTTCAGTTCTACCCAGAATGCAACACATTCCGTATTTTTCCATCTATAAGACGTCCCCCTATTTTGGGGGGGCTCAAATTTAAGAAAATGGGGAGAGAGAGATGGCCCCTATCTAAGATGCCCCCCCCAATTTTTGACATTTTTCAGGGGGTAAACCTAGTCTTATAAACGGAAAAATATGGTAACTCTTAACAGCTAGGCCAATATTTTATAGGAAAGGAAAGAGCCGCCCCATTGCAAGGAATCTCGCAAACCTAGCGTGTGTGGGGCTTTCGAATCTATTCCCTTTGGACTGCGAAGCCACTGTGAGGCTGAAGCAGGCTTAATTTCAAAAGGTGCATTTATTTATATTTGCCATAGCTCTCTATATTTTTAATATATATATATATTGTATGTATATAACTGATTGCAGTCCAGTTCCCAGGGTTTTCTTCGTGCCTGTGAGGACTAGAACCACATTTTTAAAAAATGAAGCAACCCCAAAAACTGTATTCAGGTTTACACCCGTCTATCTGCTCTGCTGTGTGTTGCACTCGATGCCTTAGGGACCGGATGGGGAAGCCCCCATTGCTATCCCTGATGGTTGGCCACACAGGATGCTGGGAGTTGAAGCCCAACATTGTAGGGAGGGCCTACCCCACCCCCCGGCTATTATAAAATAAAAGTAGGAACTGTAGGGGAACCAGTTAGCCTCTGATAACAACCCTTGATGTCGCTCACGTCTCTCTGGTTCTGGGGCGTGTGTGTCCAAGGGTGGGTTGAAAGGCAGCCAGCAACTGCACACGTGTAGGAACATAAGAAGACCTTTGCAGGATCAGGCCAGCGGGAGCCCGCCTGGCCCAAGCACCCTGCTCTCACAGTGGCCAAAGGCCCCAAGGAACCGAAGGACCTAGATAGACTGTCTCTGGGTCTGGAGGTCCCGTAAGAACGTGCGGAGAGCCCTGCTGTGCAGGATCAGGCTGAAGGGGACCCATCTTGCCCAGCACCCTGTTCTCACTGTGGCCGACCAGATGCCCCAGATGCGAGCGGGGCTCGAGCATGACGGCAGCCACACACTCCCCGCTTGTGATCCTTGCGGGGCCTTTGTTCCTTCGAAAGGACAATGGGCGAGGCTGATGGTCAGCAGCTGAAGTTCCTCATTACCCAGAACAGAGGTCGCCAACGTGGACGGGGTTTTGCAGCTCTCAGCATCCCTGATGGTTGGCTGTGCCGACGGGGGATGATGGAAGTCCCAGCACCCTCTGCAGGGGCACCTGAGCAGCTGCTCAGACTTTAGAAATTGAAGAAGCGAGGGCCCTGGCAGAGCATCAGAGCGGCTGCCTTGCGTGCAGAAGGTCCCTGGCTCAGGTCCCTGAGGCACCCCCCTCTCTGCCTGAAAGCCCAGAGAGCTGCTGCCGGTCAGTGCAGACAGCACTGCCCTTTGCGGACCAACGATCTGCATAAATCAGCTTTCCACATTCCTAAGATTTTCAGGGATAGCTTATAAAAGCAAATGTCGGGCACGTCAGCAACTGAGAACCGACGATTTTGGCGGGGCAGGTTAAGCACACTTTCTTGCAGGGTTGTTGTTTAAACATTCCTAAGAGTTGTCCACTGAGCTAGAGATGTCCATGCACTCTCCAGATGCTCTGTTGAACACCTGGGGCAAGCTGTGGGCCTCTCCGTTCCTCCCAAGAGAGGGAGGAAAATCAGGTGTGCAAAGCATCACAGACACACAACCCCGTCCCCCACAAGAAATGGAGACCCCCTCTCACAACACCTGTCACTAGGGCCAGATTCGCACCCTGCATTTAAAGTACTTCAGTACCACTTTAAGCAGCCATGGCCTCCTCCCAACAAATCCTGGGAGCTGTGGTTCGTTGTGGGTGCTGAGAGATTTTAGGAGACACCCCCCCTCCCCAAAATATAGGAGCTATAGGTCCCAGAGTGGTTTAGGAATCAGTCCCTCTTCCCTGGGAACTCTGGGAATTGTAGTCCTGTGAGAGGAAATAGAAGACTTCTAGCAACTCTCGGGACTCTTAGCAAAACTACATCTCCCAGAAGTCTTTGGGGGAAGCCATGACTGTATCGTCGTGGTATATGGCGCTTTGAAATGCACGGTGTTTGCCTGGCCCTGGGCAGGACAAATGAACTGTGAGCAAACAGGTTTCGCGAAGAACCTTCCCCTCTAGGAGCGAGGGAGGCAGTGAGCACCAGACTCGTGCGCCTGCGTTTTTAGGAAAAGGAACCCTATTTATTTAATGTGCAATTTAGAGAAAGGAAATTAAAAAGCCTTGCTGCAGCCTTTCACTTTTTAAAGCAGCGATCTTGAAACAATCTTCTAAGTGCTAAGAAACGTAGCACCTTGGCGTTCGCCCGGTGCCTTGGTGGTCTCTGGAGAGAAAGGGGAGCAGGCAGAGCGATGACCCTCGTCTCTCGTCAAAACTGCAGCGTCAACGTCGGGGCCCCGCCGGCCTTTTACGGCCACGGAAACCTCCTAACTTGGCCCAGCGCAGACTCCAGGAGGCAGCTGTTACAAGTGCCCTACAGATTTGTAGATGACTTTTTTCTTTTTTTATTATGAAAAATAGCTTTATGTACAGGCTGGCTTGTTTAAGGGGGGGGGGGAGGGAAATATATTTTATATTTTAGGGTCTTTTGCCCGAAAATGTTACGTTTACAATGTGTACAATTTCCTCTCTTTTTTTGTACTCTGGTTTGGTTAATAAAAATGCCATGGTCACCCGTTTTCCTTCTGAGCTGGGAAATTAAAACAAGAAGGACTACTTCGTGGAGTAGCGAGACAACCGGTGTTACGGGTTCTGTGGGTCTGGGAGGCTGCGGAGTTCAGCCTGACCCCTTGCAAGGAGGTCCTGCTTCTGGGAGGGTTCCTTGACACCCAGGGCCATGTGTCCACATTTATTACCCATATCTCAGTCTCAAGGGATGGGAGAGTCCATAGTCCTTCAGATATGGCTGGCCTAACCATTGGCCCTGCTGGCTGCCGGGAATCTGAGTCCGACAACGACATCTGGAGAGCTTCACTGCTGGCTGATAATCCCATGAGACAGGGAGGGAAATGGAAGAAGGGGGTTGCTGGGGAATACAGTGGTACCTCGGGTTAAGTACTTAATTCGTTCTGGAGGTCCGTTCTTAACCTGAAACTGTTCTTAAGCTGAAGCACCATTTTAGCTAATGGGGCCTCCTGCTGCCGCCGCGCCCCCGGAGGACAATTTCTGTTCTCATCCTGAAGCAAAGTTCTTTTTTTTTAAAAAAATAACTTTATTAAATTTTCCATTTTAACAATCCAATCAAATTATTCCAAATTATACAAATATGTATCATGTAGTCCGAATATTCTGCCAAATTATAATTTTTTATTGGGACTTTCCTATGCTTCAAGTTTTTGGGGGGGGGGTTCTGATCATCTCTGAAGCAGAGTTCTTAACCCGAGGTACTATTTCTGGGTTAGCGGAGTCTGTAACCTGAAGTGTATGTAACCTGAAGCGTATGTAACCCGAGGTACCACTGTAATAGGATTGTAGCAGTGGAAGGGACCCCAGAGCATCATCTAGTCGAGCCCCGTGCACTGCAGGAACCACTGATAGAGAACCCCTGAAAAGTGGCCATCTAAGTCAAACCAGAAGATTGACTTGTTAGAAGCCCGCTTGCCAAATTCCCGATTCAGAGAGGAATCAAATCGCCCTGAGAATCTTAGGAGAACCAGTCCGAAGGGAAGCTTCGTTACGCTGAAAACGGTGGTTTATTTCCCCCCTTTGACTTGCCATCCCCAGGTGGGAAAACGAGCGTGTTGTTTTCATCCACGGATCTGAGCCCCCGCAAGGTGACACGGTCCGGACGCCGGCCCCAAATGCCCCCGTCTGCCCTGCAAAGAGCTTGGATCTTGTTAAGATTCCTGGGGCGTCGCAGGCCTCGCTCTCTGCCAAGCGCTGACTAATAACTAACATTTCGCCGCTGGTAACGAGGCGCCAGCCGAGCCCCGCTTTGATTTATAGCGGCTTAGCGGGCTTTTGACGGGGAAAGTAATTAGCTTTCCCCAGGAAAATGAAAAGTGGGGGGAGAATCGGGGAGCAGCTGAAAGCAGCCGTGTGCCAAGCGAGGGATTCTGGGCCTCTGGCTCCCCTAAAGGAATGGAGTTGGGGACCCAGGTGGGTGTTCTGGGGCGAACGTACCTGTCCCTTCCTCTTCTGGTCCTGGATCTCGGTCGGCTTATGAAGATGATTGCCCCTGTTTCAGCTTGCTGGCCTCAAACGTCCTTGCTGCTGGTTGCCCATCTGCTACTGGGCCGAGTTTAAGGTGTCGTCCTAAGCAACCCATAACAAATTGAGGCCAGTTTACCTGCAAGTTCATCTTACCCCACATGCGCCCACTCAACTGCTCCGATCTGTGAAACCGGCGCCGTTCTAGGTCTCACGTGATTCTCAATCCACACTTGTAAGACGTCGACCTTTTTTAGTGTGGCACTCTGGAACTCCCTGCCCATTGAAAGTCAGGCAGGCACCTTCAGTGTGCTCGACTGCGCCTCCTACAAACATTTCCATTTAGGCAGGCTCGCCCAAACGTTTTGGACGTTGACCCGAGTTTTAATCCGTTTATCCATTAATCTGAATGGTTTTTCCAATGTTTTAAAGAGCTGTTCTTAACTATTTTAAACCGATGGTTTCATTGTTCTTTTCAGAAAGTGCTTCTGAGTTTTTTCTTTTTTTAATTAGCCACCAAGCGGTGTATAGGTAAAGGTAAAGGGACCCCTGACCATTAGGTCCAGTCGCAGACGACTCTGGGGTTGCGGCGCTCATCTCGCTTTACTGGCCGAGGGAGCTGGCGTACAGCTTCTGGGTCATGTGGCCAGCAGGACTAAGCCGCTTCTGGCGAACCAGAGCAGCGCACGGAAACGCCGTTTACCTTCCCGCCGGAGTGGTACCTATTTATCTACTTGCACTTTGACGTGCTTTCGAACTGCTAGGTTGGCAGGAGCAGGGACCAAGCAACGGGCACTCACCCCGTCGCGGGGATTCGAACCGCCGACCTTCTGATCGGCAAGTCCTAGGCTCTGTGGGTTAACCCACAGCGCCACCCGTGTCCCAAGCGGTGTACACATTTTATGAAATAAATGATGTTGGCGTCCATCATTATTCTGGGGGCGAAGTCTAACCCCTGTGTTATCAGCACCCAGTTGACCTCCCTGGGGTGGTCAGTGTGTGTGGAGGTCCAGGGCTGCCCAGACGACAAGACCCCCTCCTTGGCCTTGAGACCACCTGCCGCCATCCTTTGCCCTCCAATAACCGCCTCCACCCTCATTTCTCGCCATGCCTGGGTCTGCCCCCCAGTCTCAAGCTGCCATTCCCTTTGCTCCTTTCCTTATTCCCATCCCAGGGCGCCTGGGGGGCGGGTTCCTCTTCCTCTCCCCAAACCTTTTCCCTATACAGTGGTACCTCAGGTTAAGTACTTTAATTCGTTCCGGAGGTCCGTTCTTAACCTGAAACTGTTCTTAACCTGAAGCACCAGTTTAACTAATGGGGCCTCCTGCTGCTGCCGCACCGCCGGAGCACGATTTCTGTTCTCATCCTGAAGCAAAGTTCTTAACCTGAAGCAGTATTTCTGGGTTAGCAGAGTCTGTAACCTGAAGCGTCTGTAACCTGAAGCACCACTGTACACACCTTTTTTTCACAATACACCCCCACCAAACAATACAGAAACCATGGTCACAAGCACAGGAGTCCTTTGTTAGGGGTGGGGGAACCTCCAGTTTTGGGGTGCGGCCCTTGGTGCTTATTATTCTGGCCCCTGACACACCTTTTATTCCCAACCCTCTTCCTCAAAGCGCTTTGGCTGGGCCGGAATGTGCCATTGAGCCAGGATCATGCCCACCCCCCCTTGCCGGGATGGAGGACAGAGAGTCAGAAACCTCCAGCTTTCACACGACCATATTGTGGTGCAAGAAACACAAAAGCTCTCGTCTGCAGAGCAGCCTGCTCTTGCCTCTGAGCTCACTTGCAGCTGGAATGTGGCCCCCGGAAGGTTTCATATGTGGCCCCCGGGCTGAATAAAACTGCCCTGTGATACTTCCCCCCCCCAAAAAAATAATCAGATGGGCACTGTTTATATAAGAACGGTGGGTTACTGTTCCTAATCCTAACCTTGCAGAAAGCCATCTAATTAGACTTTAATTTGATTTTGACCTGTCTTTGGGAGGTAATTTAATTATTGTTTGATTTTATACTAATGTTATATATTTGATGTTGGCCGACCGGCTGGGGAGGGCAGGATATAAATAAAAGTTGTTTTTTTATTTTTTTAAAATTATTATTATTATTATTATTATTATTATTGCCTGCTGGATCAGGCCAATCAATGGCCCTTTCAATCCAGCATCCCCTTTCCACAGTGCCTGGGGGAAAACAGCAGGCAGGATTTGAGCACAAGAGCAACTTCTCCCCTCCTGGTATTCAGAAGCGTCGCCTTCTCCACCTCCATGAATTTTCCCCACCCTCTTCCAACGCCGTCTCAGTTGGTAGCCATCCCTGACTCCTGTGGCAGGGAGTTCCACAGTTTAACTGAGCAAAGTAGCAAGCGCCTCTTCTCTAGGCCAGTCTCCCCCAGCCTACAGCACCCTCCCCACCCAAAGGTGCTAATTTATCCCTGTAGTGGAGAATTTATGGGTAGCTACGACTGCTTTGAAGTTCAGGGGAAGAGACCCAAAAGCTCTGGGTTGTGGTCTGCAGCATCGCATTTAATCGAATATATATATAATGCCCCGGAACCAGACCCACCTGGTGTTATCTTGGGCTCAGTGGTGATCTGGAGAGTGTAAGCTCTGCGGGGCAGAGACCATTCTCCCCCAACACTGCTATTCCGTAAATCATCTTCACTGCTGCTTCTGCTGCCATGGCCACATCAATTTTTTAAAAAAGGACAAGACACCAACGCTCTTCAGATCTGTTCATTCCCAGAGTACATTTTTGCCACAAGCCACCCCCCTCTTCTGGTCTTACTCAACAATAATTTCTGCATGGCATGGCAGCTATTATTTGCCACGCTCCTCCAAAGTTTAAATACGTGCTGATCGGATCGTTCCCTCATTCGAGTCTCGCATAATGATCCATCAAAGACATTCAGGATCTTTAGAAGTCTCTTTCTTCTGGCTGCGGTGCTGCCTTCTAGTAGAAGTTCTGGTCTGGTGCAGTTTGGTTGACTGGGAAAATTCCTCTTTCCGCAGACTCACCCTATTCCTGCGGCATCACTGACAGAGGGAAGTAGGGGCATTATTTTAAGAACATCGGACTGTAGCTGGATCTGGCCCACTTGGTCCAGCATCCTCTTCCCATTTTGGAATCAAGATAGACTGCCACTGGACCTGGAGGTTCCATAAGGATATCAGAAGAAACCATGGATCAGGCCAGTGGTCCATTTTATTCCAGCATCCTATTCTCATGTGGGAAACCCGCAAGCAGCATTTAAGCACCTGAGCAATTCTCTCCACCTGCGATTTTCAGAAGCCTTTTTGCCTGAGCACGGCCATCCTAGCTAGTAGCCACTGGTAGCCTTTATGTCTTTTAAATCCATCCAATGTGGTGGCAGGGAGTTCCGTAGTTCACCCCTGCGCTGCGTGAAGAAGTCATTCCTTCTACCTGTCCTGGACCTTCGTACATCAGTGCGTTCTACGTAGGGCTGCCTCTGAAGACGGTTTGGAAACTGGTGCAGAATTCGGCTGCCAGGTTGCTCAGTGG